AGGGGGGTTCCAGCTGTGCTGAGGAGGGGGCCCAGCCAGCCCAGGGGGGTTCCAGCTGTGCTGAGGAGGGGGCCCAGCCAGCCCAGGGGGGTTCCAGCTGTGCTGAGGAGGGGGCCCAGCCAGCCCAGGGGTGTTGCCCAGCCCTGCCCAAGGTGTGCTCTGGGCTCCCTTCTCCCCACAAACCCTCAGCACTCCCAACGTTTGTCCCCGCACAGGCCCAGCCCTGCCTTGCTGCAAACATTTAAAGATGTTTTCCCTTAATTCCCACTTTTCCCCACTTCTTCTGGAAAATGAGCCATGACAGACGAGCCATTTGCAATGCTGCAAGTGTGACATTGGCTGGATTTCCATGGCAACTCTCCCCTCTCCATCCCCAGCCTCTGGATGTGCATTCCCAGCAGACTCGGGCTGCAGACACACATCATTATATTTAATCTGAACAAGTGTGTACCTGAGTTGACTTTATTTCATGAAACTGCATAAGAAATTAAATTTCTCTCACTATTTCCTGCTCTCCAATCCTGGTGTCATTTCTTGCAGGGCTCTGCCATTACTTGTTGGCATTTTGCATCAGTACATAATGATACGATACCAGATAATGTTAAGATGCAGAAACCACTCCAAACACCAGACAGCAATTTTCTGCTCAGTTTCCCAATTTAACCTGAATTGATACTACACTGTAAGTCTGTGTGAGGTTCAGGGACTGCTCTAATTAGAGAAGCATCTTGGGCAGCAGCACTCACATCCTGCCTGTTTGGTCCTGGCCTTGACAGGGCAATTCAGAGGCAGAGGAGAGAACTCCTCTCCCCGATTTGTCCTCATGAACAGCACCAGCTCCTCCCATTACAGCTCATCTCCTCATCCTCCAGCCCAGAGCAGCTCTCAGCCCTCGTGAAATTCATTGTGTTTTATAAATCCCACTTCAAATGGACAAGTTTAACTTCCCCTGCCCAGGAAGGCGCTGTGGGATGCTGAGAGTGCCTGGTGGGGCACAAGCCCTGCAGTGAGGCAGCTCAGGGGTTCAAAAGGGCCTGGCAGTGGCAGCAGAGCTCTGCCAGCCCCTGCCCTGCTCTGGGCACATTTCTGTCCGTCCCTGGCAGCTCCAGCCCCTCCATCCCTTGCTCAATCTGGGAAGCTCCACTGCCTGTCAGTGATGGCCACTTCTCCTCCCGATGATGCTGCTGCTCCAAGACTCTCCAGCAGTGAGCTGGGGTCAGGTCTGAGAGCAAACAAAGCCAAGCCAAGACCTGCAGTGAGCTGGAAATGCTCCTTTTAACTCGCAGGGAGGGCAGGTAAACACTTGATGTTAATCTCTGCTCCAAGCAAGCACAACCCTTCTGCATCCCAATAAACTGCAGCATCTCCAAGTACAGCTCCAGCACATCAGTGCAGTGATGTGTGTGACCCAAAATAAGAACACGAGGAGCAGGAGACTGCTCTCCAAAGCAGCTGGGTGTGCACAGCTCTGCAATGCTTATTGGGTTCTTTTAAGTACCAAATTAAGCAAAGAGTGGGAGGAAAGAGTGATGAAACCAGAATCTGATCTCCTGCTCCAAGTTTAACCTTAGCTTGGCAGCTCTGTCTGCTTCTATGCTTATTTTTAATTTAGTAATGCTCTGATGATTTATTTCTATACTAAAGCCTATTTCACAAAAGCTGAAAAAGAAATGACTGCAGGAGAAGAAATCTCTCCCGAAACGAAGCCACTTGTGCAGACACAGGGGGAATTTGGGCTGATTTATGGCCAGCTTGGCCAAAAAGCACTCCAACTCCAGTGTCCTCCCTGCTAAAATGGAAAATGTGGCTGTGCTGTGAGCCCTGAGCACTGCCAGGGCTGCACAGCCCTTGGTTTGTGTCAAAGTCCCCCTGGAAATCTTGGACAGCGTTGGGAGCCCCTTTGGATGGAAGATGTGGAGGGACCAGCCTGGGGCCACAGCCCACAAAAACTGCTAATCCTGTAGAGATCCCTGTTCCCATGAATTCCAAAGTGATTTTTCCTGGAAATAACTGCGAGTCCCCATCCCCAGACGAGATGGAACAACCCAGCAAAGCAGCCATCTGCTTCTCCCATCTCCTCACTCCTGTTCCAAAAGGAACTGGAAACTCTCCTCCCCTTCCTTCCCACTTTATTTTCAGCCAGAGCTCAGCTCCCCATCCTCAACCCTGCACCTTGTGTGCTTCTCTCTCCTTCCACACGTGTTTTCTTCCAGCAGGAACATTCCACTGCACACCAGACATTTGTTCACCAATGGACAGAGAGGTTTGCAACAGAAGGAAAACAAAATATCTTGTGGGTTAGACAGACCTCGATCCTGAAATTCACTCTGAGGAAGGGGAAAGAGCTTCAGCAGACTTTGTCATCTTAAAAAAACTCAGATTTTTCATTTTGTTCCCTCTCAGAAAAGTGACAAAGCCATGACTGCCCACATACAAGTGCAGCTGCCTACGGACAGAGAGAAAATCCCCAACTCAGAGCTCAGAGTTTGTTTGTTTTCTGCCTTGGAGATGATACCCACACAGCTGTCAACAGAAGCACAGAGATGAGCCTGAACCCAGGGCTGATACGGCTCTCAGGAAGTGTTCCCATCCCTCTCCTTTACCAAGAAGGAGCAGGAGATGCACTGAGCCATCCCAGTTCCCTGGGAAGGAGAGGGAGACTCGGGAGGAGCTGTATGAGGTTGATGTGGGGATTGCTTCTCCTCCCCAGGTGAGCATTGCCAGCTCTCCCAGCAGAGCTGCTCCATCCCTCTGATCCCCCTGTGCCTCCTCTGGGCTCCTCCAGCAGCTCCAGGTGCTGTCCCAGGGCTGGGGCAGCTCTGCAGGTGGGGTCTCACCTGAGCACAGGGGCACAATCCCAATCCCTTTCCTGCTGCCCACGCTGGGCTCAGCCCAGGGCTGGGACCAGCAGGACAATCCCAGCTGCTCTCCCCCAGGTTTCCATCTGCAGGAAAGCAGAGCTGGGATGAAGGGAGGTGCTGTGGCTGTGCCAGCCCTGCTCACACACCCCACGAGCACCAGGAGAGCAGCACAAGGTGGAAGCTCAGGGGATCTGTTCAGACTCCCCAGGACAGAGCCCAGGGCTCTGGGCAGGGAGTGGGAATTGATAAAACCTCCCAAGGCAGAGGCAGCTCCCAGAGCATCCAGCTCCAGCTGCTGAGAGCAAGGATCCATTTCTCCTTCCATTCAATCCAGGCCTGCTCATGCACTGCTGAGTGCAAAGGACAGCGAGTTAAAGGAAATGCTGGCCCTCAGCACAGCCTCTCCAACACTCTAAAGTCTGTGTGATGAACACTGCTCTGCTGTGTCACCCAGCGCCACCGGCTCCACTGCCACTCCTTTGTTCGCAGTCCCCACCCCAAAGCCATTAAACACTCGCCTTCTAATGAAAATGGATTGGTTTTGGCCAATAAATCACTTAAAAGCCACCTGCCAATGAAAAGATAAATTCAAAGAGCCAAATTCCCCCAACTCCTCCTCGCATATTTTCCCCCTCTGCTTTGGATTTAGAGGGAAAATATGTTTGGATAATCCATCAATGGCAGCTCTCTCCTGGGAAGTGTGAACAGACCACAGAAAAGGCTCAGCTTGGCTTCCACTTCCAAAATCACTTCATGGACCACTCGCAAACAATTCAGGCAGCAGGGTACGAGCTCTGGATATTGGTGCTGCCCCGGATTGTTTTGTTTTCATTAATAAGATTATTGCAGTGAAAACAGGCTCTCTGAAGCTTAATTTTCCTAGAAATTGTTAAATAATTCAACACCCATCTTTTCTGTCTCTTTAATGCCTCTGAAAAATCAAAACCCTTCACAAATTAAAGGCCAAATCCTGTTTACTCTTTCCATTTCTAAAGCAACTCTGACATCAATAAAAGCTGGTTTTGTGACTTGGGCTCAGATTAAAGTTCTGTCAGTGCGAGTATTTTTTATTTTTTCAACCGGGAGCATAATGTTTTTTTTTTCCTTTTTAATCAAAATAATTCTCTTATGCAAAGCTCTAAAGATACAAAAGCAAACGCTTCCAGTATGGCCAGCGTGGTTTTCTTCATAAAAATGGATTACACAAACATTTCCTAGCAATAAACTACAGCTCCCTTCAGCAAGGAGAATTTGCTCCCTCGCCTGTAACTCTGTTCTCATGAAGGGCTGAACCAGAGGCTCAATGTCCCTGCCCAGTTTTCAAGCCCTTGAGGGAGAAGCTGGGCTTGGCTGGTCTTGAAGGAGGATTTCAGTTTGAACTTTAAGCAGTCACCCTTTTGATTTGGCCAAGAATGATGGTTTTGTGGAATCACAGAATATGCTGAGCTGGAAGGGACGCACAGGATCATCGATCCAACCCCTGGCCCCGCAGAGAAGCACCAACAACCCCACCCCTGCAGGCCCTCCATCCTTTGGATGGTCTCCAGTAACTCTGGATGTGTCTTGCACTGCCCCAAACTGCCCCCAGAGCAGGGCAGGACAATCACACCCACGAAACCTTTCAGAAGTGTCCCACGGTTCCCAGAATGACGATGGCATTTGCAGCGTCATGGAAAAGCAAGGAAATGCCACCTGCATTTATTTTCATCCAGGAATCACTGGAACACACACGGAGCCCCCAAATCACTTTCCTGGCTCCAGACAGCCCCTTCACAAAGCAGGCAAATGTTTTGGTGACAAGTGCCACCCAGGGCTGGATCTCCCCTGCTCCAGGAAAGGCAGAGCTTGCCCTGGTCACTGAGTGTCCCCAGCCCTGGTCACTGAGTGTCCCCCTGGTCACTGAGTGTCCCCAGCCCTGGTCACTGAGTGTCCCCTGGTCACCGAGTGTCCCCTGGTCACCGAGTGTCCCCCTGGTCACTGAGTGTCCCCAGCCCTGGTCACTGAGTGTCCCCTGGTCACTGAGTGTCCCCCTGGTCACTGAGTGTCCCCCTGGTCACTGAGTGTCCCCAGCCCTGGTCACCGAGTGTCCCCTGGTCACTGAGTGTCCCCTGGTCACCGAGTGTCCCGTGCTGGCCGTACCTGATGGGCAGGGAGGGGTCCCCAGCGTCCCACCAGTCCTTGGGGGGGCTGATGTACATGCACCACAGCTCCCAGCTGTAGCCGTGTGCCGAGTTCTCGTAGCGCTGCACCTCGAAGTTGTCCTGCTTGATGTTGTCGATGGAGGGCAGGATCACCCTCCTCCTGTTCTCCTGGATCCGGGACAGCACCGGCTCCGCCCTGGGGAGAAGGGACACAGCATCAGAGGCTCAGTTCCCTGCAGCTTCCACTCATTCCTCCCTGGATCCCACCCAGCCCTGCCCTCTGGCACTGGGAGCCATTCCCTGTGTCCTGTCTCTCCATCCCTCGGCTGAAGCCCCTCTCCAGCTCTCCTGGGGGCTCCCTTTGGTACCAGAATCCACTCAGAGCCTTCTCCTCTCCAGCTCTGACTCTCAGCCTGTCCTCACCGTGCTCCAGCCCTCTGTGTTCCTCCTCTGGACACATTCCAAGGGGTCCATGTCCATCTTGAGTTGGACAAAAACCTGGTCCACAGGCTGGGAAGCCTGGCTGGAAACCTTCCCTTCTGTAAAGCGAGGCCAGGACTGCTGTGCTTGGCTCCAATCACACTTGAACCAGACTTCCCCCAGATCCCAAAACCCTGGGCAGAACAGGGCACATTCCTGAAAGCACAACTATTTGAAGGGTGGTTTTTTTTTGGTTTTTTTTTCCCTTGGGATTCAGTTTGATGACTCTGTAGCTAAATATTTCATCTCTGGGATATATTCAGGGCCGGGGTGTGCTCAGCCTCAGCTCTGCAGCTCCAGAGCCACCGAGTGCCCCGGGGTCAGTCCACAGCAGGGGCAGTTTGGGGGAGCTGGTGCTGCCAGTGCCCCCAGTGCCTCCAGCAGCTGGGAAACACCGGGAGAGAAAAGCCCTGACTGCAGAAATGCCTCCTCTCTAGCCCTAAAAAACGAGCTTCAGTCAATGGCAGCTCCTCAGTGAGTCAGGTGTGAGCATTCAGTGACCAGAGGAATGTTCAGCTGGGAATACAGATCCCAACATCACAAACAGCACCTAAAACACCCCTTCAGCTGTCATTAAAAATCATTAACTAGCTGTGCAGAACTCTGCCTGTAACAGCTGCAAATAGGGGTTTTTTTTGTGGCTGTTACTGTGTTAAAATTCAGCATAAGTTTAGCTTCTTCCACCTCCACTTTTCTAAACATGGACCATTTACTTTTTACACTTGGTTAAAGGGAAAAAAAAATCCCTTTCAGGCTCCTGTCATGACATAAATTCAAACTTGAGCCACTTGAGTGCAAATGTTTTGAATCTCTCTGAAAAAAATCCTCCTGCAACACCTTTTGCTGCTTCCACACCTCTGCTCTTACTCCCAGCAGCAGAGGAAACAAATAAATCCAAAGCATCTGAGCCTTCCTGGGATCCAGCAAAGGGCACAGAAGTGGGAAACACTTTCTCCTTCATTCCCTTACTGCCTGGGCTTTTTTAAACTTGCAGGAATTACTTAAGGCTAAGGGAATGGGAAATCATCCTGAAAAATCTAAACAGGGAGCAGGGCAAGTGCAAGCACAAAGGGAAGGAATAGAGAAGGATTACAAGGAACAGGGGCAAGGGAAGATCTTCCTCGTATGTTCCCATCATGGAATCCTGGAGGAACCCTGGAGGAACCCTGGAGGAACCCTGGAGGAACCCTTGAGGAACCCTGGAGGAACCCCGGAGGAACCCCGGAGGAACCCCGGAGGAACCCTGGAGGAAGCCTGGAGGAACCCTGGAGGAATCCCGGAGGAACCCTGGAGGAACCCTGGAGGAATCCCGGAGGAACCCTGGAGGAACCCTGGAGGAACCCTGGAGGAACCCCGGAGGAACCCCGGAGGAACCCCGGAGGAACCCTGGAGGAAGCCTGGAGGAACCCTGGAGGAATCCTGGAGGAAGCCTGGAGGAACCCTGGAGGAAGCCTGGAGGAAGCCCGGAGGAAGCCTGGAGGAAGCCTGGAGGAACCCTGGAGGAAGCCTGGAGGAAGCCTGGAGGAAGCCTGGAGGAAGCCCGGAGGAAGCCTGGAGGAAGCCCGGAGGAAGCCTGGAGGAAGCCTGGAGGAGGATTAGCCAGCCAGAGGAGCTGTGTGTCATGGTGCAGGGACACATGGCTGTGGAAGGATGGCTGTTGAGCACCTACCAGCCAGCAGTGAACTCCACGTGGGCATCGAAGAAGCCGGTGACCTGGCCCGTGGCAGCTTTCCAGCCCTCGATGCGCGCCCGGATCAGCCCTTCCCTCTTCTGGTTCCTCACCACCTTCACCAGCCCCGGGTAGCGCTTGTTGACGTACTCCTCCAGCGGCGCCTTCAGCTCCTCTGGGGACAAGGACACAGACCATGGGCCATGGACACGGCTCCCACCTGGCACAAACCCCTGGCAGGGTCTGCAGAGCTCTGCTGGGGGGGACACGAGCAGCTGGGGGAGCAACGCTGATGTGCACAGCGAGGAGCGAGCACAACCCTCACAGAGAGGGTCAGGGTGGCCCAGAACGCTGCTGATGGACCACTGAGCAGCCCAGGGGCCACCTCAGAGCCCAGGGGCAGGGAGGGGACACTTCCACTCCTCTGCACTAAAGGAAGTGGAACTGAAACACAAAGATAGAAAGGCATCACCCACGGACGGCAAACAGCAGCACTCTCAGCTGCTGATGGTGGTTCGAGCTGAATGCACTGCTAGAAATGCTGCAAAACCCACCCAAAGTGACTCAAACTACATCAAAACCATGTCTGAGCTTCACCACCATCTTCACTCAGCCCCACCACTACAGCCTTGGCACTTGCTGCTTGTTTTGCCCCCAGAAAAGCTGAAATTCCCCTTGCTTTTCTGAGGGGATGAAAGGGATTCTGGCTTTGCTCAGAAGATCCTCCCAGCACTTGTCTCGTGCTCACTGCAGCTCATTTCCCTCTGTTGTCCAGGCCTGAGTGTGTGCAGTGCCTGGGACCCTCAGGGACCTGCAGCCCCAGCACAGAAATCCTCCACAGCACGAGATCTGAGCACTAAAGACACACAGGGCTTTGCAGGTGGAAGCAGATGAAGGGTTCCAACAAAGGAAAAACACGAGTGTGCTGCTCCAGCCCTTGGAAAAGTGCCAGATCTCTGCCAGAGACACCTCGGTCCTCCCAGTGCCTGTGGTCTGCTCTGAAAGCTCAGCAAAGCCACTGGGCACCAACACAAACTCTCAGCACCATGAAAGCAGCTCCTGAGAGTGTCCCTCATCCCCACTTCAGGACTTTGGGCTTCAGGACAGCCCAAAATTAAGATGTGATCCGTGACCTCGAATTCTACTCTACTGCCCTTCACTGCTCTCTCTCTCCCCCCAGGACAAAAAATAAAGAGTGAAAAGAAGGGTCACCATTAATCATCCCCAGGTAAAATCCTGGAGACACACGGGCACAGGTGGGATCCCACACGAAGGGAACACAATGGACAGTAAAGGAGTAAACAGCAAGTCTCATCTGCTCTGAAATCTTCAAAGGAAAAGGATTATCTGTTCCCTTCCCTGCCACGCCTCCTTCCAGGCACAGCAAATTCTCCACACTGCCTTTCTGGGATGCTTCCCTTCACATCTCCATTTCCCCAGTCTCCTTTCTCTTTTATGCTGAAGTAGGAATAAAAAGAATAAAGCAAATGAGCCCCTTCCTCAATTCAAAGCATCTGCATCACACACATCCATAACTCAGCAACTTCCATTTCATGCTGAGCCACTCAGAGCAAAACCAGGATTTTATAGAGACAACAACTCTCCCAAATGGTTTTAAGGAGACAAAGACACCGATTTTTTTGACAGATGAAGCCCCCAAGCACAGAACTGGTATCTCCCGTGGCTTTGGCAGCAGGTAAGTCATTAATGCAGCAGACCACTGCACCACAGAGTGATTAAAACAACTTTCACATTGGAGGTGGAATCTCAGCGGAAGGAAAACATGAAAACTCCCCTGGGGAATTGTCTGAGCAGCTGGAATCAGAGGGAAGCTGCAGTGGAACAGAGGAGCTGTAATGTCACAGAGGGTCAGCCCCGAGAGCCCCCTGTGCCCACCCTGCTGTGACAGCAGCTCCTCGGGACGTGCCCAGGCAGCCTCTGCTCCTCTCCTGTGTCCTGGGCACCTGCTGGGGCCAGAGCAGCCCCTGGGGAACAGCTCCAGGGATGTGGAAGGTGGCAGCACACTGACCCTGCTCCCTGGCACGGCAGGGGACACGGCTGTCCCCACGGGGCTGCTGCTCTCTGCAGGGAAATGGAACCAAGGAAAGCAACCCCAGCACAGACACCAGCCCAAATGAAACATCCACTGCTCCCTCCCCACCCCAAACCCTGCCCAAACCTCTCCAGATCCTGTGGCCAGAAGGAAGGGTGGGAACTGCCCGTAGCCACACAGAGAAAGGAGCAGAGACCAGAGAAGCTCAAGGAGTGACCAAGAGCAGGGAATTCCCTGTGCAGCACTGGCCAGGGAGAGGAGCACAGCTCCTTCACACCCCTAAGGAAAACATCCTGGTGTTTGCCAGACTCCTTAGGTGGGAACAGCCTCCAGGGGTTATCAGAAACACTGGAGGGATCAGGGCTGGAGTGCTCCAGTGCCAGGGGAGACCCCAGCCACCCCTGTCCCACATCCTCACCTGCCTGAAACTCCAAAGCCACCAGGGCTGGGATTTCTGCAGGAAATCATTAGAGCAGCTCCTTCAACAGGCAATAAATAAATGTGAACATTTTTCAGGGAGACTCAGAGCCAGGGAGCCTCTGAAGTTTTTTACCTGCAGCTGGACAAGAGGAGACTGTGCCATGGGGAGAGGGGGATGGATCAGCTCTCAGAGAAAGCTGGTCCCAGTCAGGGCATGCAGCCCAAGCCATTTGGTTCAGCAAAACCAGAGAGAATCACAGAATCCCCTGAGCTGCAGAGCCCCACAGGGATCACAGATCCCAGCTCCTGTCCTGCACACACACCCCAAGCAAACCCAGCCCGTGCTGCTCCTCTCCACAGAGCCCCCAGATCCTCAGCTGAGCACAGTGGGACAGCTCAGCCCCAGTTAAACACCCATCCCCAGGCTGGAATATTCAGCCCTGGGAAAGGCTGGGATGTGACTCAGCTCCTTGAGTTCCCCCTGAGCACAGACACCCAGACAGCTCCTGGGAGGGCCGGGGCACTGCTGCTGCTGCTGGAATGAGCAAAGCAAGAAGGGATCCCCAGGAACTGCAACGCTGGGACAAATCACAACCCTGGGCATGTCTCCTTTACACAGCCTTTCATCCAAAGGCTTTCCTTCATTCCGAGAGCTTTGCTTTTCAAAGAGATGTTATCCCAGATTAAAAACGCTAAAAGACACAACAACAACGACTTAAAAAAAAAAATCAGGTGATGATTAAGCAAGAGACTCAGACCAAGTGTGCAGCTGTGAGATAACACAGCATCTCAGGGGCACCTCCTGCATCCTCCAGCAGCCCAGGAACCTCGTTATCACTCCCAAACACAACCTGCACACTGCCTTTGGAATTACAGCCCTGACACGAGCACAAACAAAAGCAGCCTCCAAAAGAGCCTTTATGAAGTGTAATGTGCAGCTCAAGGGAGAAGGGGGTTCAAGCTACAGCTCCCCAAGCCTTCTCCTTCAAGGAGGGATTTTTTTCTCGTTACAATACATTGGCATCTTTTATCTATTTACAGCTCAGACACAAAGCATCAGAATGCCGGCGTTCATTAACTTTATTCTCTCGCTGCTCACTTTTGTGCTGTGACGTGCTGTTGTACAACAAAGCTGAGAGCAGGGAGTGTCTAATGAGGCTTCAGGAGCTCTTTGTTCCAGCCTGAAAACCCCACACCAGCAGCAGGCTTTGCTCCAGCCTGGGTCACAGCTCTGCCTGCAGGGCACAGAGCCAGGTGAGCAGGGCAGGTGGCTCTTGCCTCTCCCCCTGGGACTAATCTTAAAACTTGATTTGGAAATCTCTCTTAATATTTGGTGCTTTGTTCTTCACTTACCCAGATTTGCTGTGGTTCCTCCTCCTCCTCCTTGCCAGAACCCACACAAACCTCAGCCAGGGACTGTCCTGAGCCCTCAGCACCTTCCCCAGAGCTGCTCTGGTGACCCAGGGGACAGCTCTGGGCTTGGGCACTGCTCCCTGCAGTCAGCCTTCTCTCAGGGTACACAGCTGAGCCCCCAGAGCCTTTTCCTGGGCTACAGCCACATCCCCACCAGAACTGTCCCTCACACCCACAGCTGCTCCCAAAGAGACTGAAGGAACTCCTCATCTTGTTCAATCACAGCCTCCAAAGTCACACCCACACAACCTCTGCTTGATCCTCCAGGACTCATCTCTAAATCTGAGAGCTCACGAGGAACTATTTTCCTGTAATTATTTTCCTGCAGAAGCCAAATCTATTTATTATGATGGCTTTGTTTGTGATATCCAAAGCACCAACTCTGCGATGCTGCTATTGCTCCCTAAAATTATTGCCTACCATTAGTGGGAACTGTGTGACAACGTTACTGCCATTAATAATTCCTGGCTGTCACTGCACTCCTCGAGGATGCTGAGAAGGACCACATGGTCCCAGAGACACGTTCTGCTTTGTATCATTTCTCTTACATGAGAAAAGTAGATTATTACACGCTTGGGAGGAGCTCTTCATAAACATCTGCCAAGTGACCTCATTATCTTCCTTCAAATACCTCCTTAAAAATCCCATTTTTCATGAGGCCTGCAAAGCCTGAGCAGCAGAACTCTGGCATTATTAACTCACCCTCCCAGCTGGTGGCACCACCTCAGTCACCCTGGGTGAGGAAGGGGCTGCTCACAGCACACCCTTCGTGCACAGACACGAGTGGAGCTCAGCCATCACCACCAGTGGCTTCTCTTTCACAGAGTTCTTCTCTTTGCCCCACTAATGGGATGACATTTGGAGAAGGAGCCTCTCATTCTGGTCTTTCAGGGCCTCCAAATCCTGGGCACTGTGAGCAGCACCTGCCCATCACCTGCCCAGCTCCGAAATCCCTGCACCGTGGACACCGTCCAAGCTCCTGCCCTGGAGCTGCTGTGGCTCCACCAGCTCAGGAGCTCCCTCCTGACTCTTTTACTGCTAATTAGAACTCATCAGCTTTCCATGGTGCTCATTACTGTGGTGTTTGAGTGCCTGCTTCTGCAGCCTGAGCAGCTCGCTGTGCACCAGCTCCTCACACACAGAGGAACCTCTCAGCTCCCTCTGGAAATGAGCTCTCCACATCCTGCACCCTGCCCTGCTCTTCCCTCCAAGCACAGCATCCACAGCACTCCTTGAGTAATTATTTTCAAATAAAAAGGATGAAAATGCAGCACAACTGAAGGAGGCAGTAAACAAAGTCACTTAACTATTTGCTGTCCTTAACGAGGATTTTAACTGCCTTGATTACATTGTCCAAGTGGATATTGGGAGGAAAAAAACCTTGGAAGAATTTGAGTCTGAAAATGCTTCCTGCAGTTCTGTGTTATCAAAAGCCAGAGGGGGAGGAATGACAACAGTGACTGAACCAAAGGACACTCGTGTGTAACGTGGGAAACAAAACATCCCCTCCAGGTTGTGGCAGGGCCTGACCTGGACAGGTGGGCTGGGATTATTTCCTCCTCTTCCTCTTCCTCCTTCCTGTTCCAAAACCAGAACTCAGGGAACGAGGGTCTCTGCAGAGCACCAGCCATCTATAAAGCCTGGGATGGTATTTTACAACAGGGAAACCGAGGCGCACACAGAGGAAACATCTCAGCTAACACCCCTGGGAGGTGCCAGAGCAGAAATCCCTCTGGGCTCTTGTCCTGCAAACATTTAGAGGTGCAGCCCTGCAACAACCAGAGTGTTATTATGAGAAACGAGGATGCCCTGAAACCAGAGCTCCTGGATGGTGCTGGAGGGAAGGGTCAGATGGCTCTCTGCTTTCCTTCACCTCCCAGCTCTCAGCTACATTTTCAAACAGCAACTCTCAGATTCAGCTGTGGCTTGATCCTGTTCCTCACCAGAGAAGCCGCAGAGAACTCTGTGCCAGCAGCACGCCCCTTACCCCCTGCAAGAACCCAGGGGATTCCCAGGATCCCAGCCCCTCCTGGGGCAGCTGGCAGAGCTGGCAGAGCTGGCAGAGCTGGCAGAGCTGCTCACCCTCGTCGCTGTTGTCGTCCACCAGGATGATCTCCTTCAGCAGGGGCGCGGGCGTGTGGTTGACGGCGCTGTGCACCGAGCGCAGGATCACCGACAGCGCCTCGTTCACAAAGATGAAGATGATGGAGATCTGGGGCAGGTCCTTCCCGTATTTCAGCTCTTTGCACCTGCAACACGAAGGGCAGAGAGCGAGGTGGGGTCAGCAGAGCTCAAGGGACACATGGAAAATCCACGGGGCAAGGCCAGGGCTGCCACCTCCCAGCCGTGCACTGCAAATCCATCCTGGAATCGCTGCTGCTGGGAAGAGGGAACAGCACAGCAGAGCATCCCCGAGCTCAGAGAGCACATCCAGAGCTCACCGAACCTGGCTGTGGGGGCAGATGAGCAGGAGTGGCCTCCAGAACACAGCAAATGCCTCTAGCAGCTCAGGGAAGCTCCCCAGTCCCAAAATTTCCAGGTGCTCAGAAATAAGCCTTGTCCTTAAACAGCACTTGGGAATTTTCTTCCCATTTGCTTTGGAAATAAATGAACATAAAATGAGCCTTGGTTAAATAGTCTCAATAAATGTTTTTGCTCTCTCAGCAGATACCTCTGAGTACATTCCAGTCTCTGAAGCCGTGTTGTGACCTTGTGTCTGCACTCCACAGCCAGGATGGTTAAACCCAAACCCTTGTGTCGCCTCCCTGGTTCCAGGAATCATTCCTCAGCTTGGGCAGGGTTTGGGGACACAGACACCAGAGCAGGACAAAAGCAGGAGCTCCCAGGTTTCCACCAGCACCATCCCTGGCAAGCAGCAGGTCCACGTTCCATGGACACACCTGAGCTGCAGGAGCAGGGCTGGGACAGGTCCATGTCCCAGG